GTGTGTGTGTGTGTGTGTGTGTGTGTGTGTGTGTGTGTGTGTGTGTGTGTCAAAGGTCAAAGGTTACTGAAGCGGCTCACAGATATCTGGACTCGTCAGCGGTTGGGTTTGAGGTTGTGTAGGTGTTTTAAGGCTCCAAGGTGAGAGAATAAAAGTAGGAAAACACAGTGTCGCAGGTGTGTGTGTGTCTGTGTGTGCGTATATACATGCTTTACAGCAAAATTGTAATTATTTTTATTACATAGATACGTCTTATGTTACTATGTTTTCTTATATCTGTTTATTTTCAGGTGTGCAGACAGATGTCGGGTGTGTTGCCTTGTGTTTCTTGGTGTATGTTTAATATATTTTCTAATCTCTCTTTCAGTCTCTTCAATTACATTTCCCCTTTTTCTCCTTTCCTCTTTCAAAAAAATGTCACTGATGAAATTAGGAAACTAATATTCAGTTCTTTTTTTCTACTGAAGTGACAAAAAAAATGAAATTACTGTGCCACACAGAATATTGTCTCCATGTACTCTTAATTGGCTCTGGAAGGCAATTGATGAAAAGGGAATGTAATCTAAAAATGTGAGGAAAAAAAGCAAAGACCAATTAAACATAAATGAAAAATAAATAAAAAAACAGTTTTTGCAAATGAAATTACATTTAAAAAGGAAACTCGGTTGCAAATGTGATGACAGGAAACAAAAACTGTGATGAAGACTGAAAAATGGGAACAAACAAATTTAATGTTTGGTGTCACTCATAAACCAAATAGTAGTGAAGTTCCTCAGACCACATGCAKAAACCAKAGCATTTAAAATACCACAACACCCACAGACARYTATGTAAGCCAACAAACCCCAACAGGTTTTCAGCACAAAACCCATGAACCACAAACCCAAACTGAAACTGTGAAGCTGTGTGCCGAGGTAAATATCTTGGATGAAAAAGACCCTTTAGGATCACTTCTTGCAGACAAAGCAAAGAATTTCAAATAAATTACAACTTTACTTTAAATCAGTTTTTTAAAAATTGGTTAGCTTCAGATTTACTTGCTTCTTTGTGATTGCTTCAGGGTACCTTCAACCAAACAAATATGAGCAAAAAAACAAACAAAACAAAAAAAGATTGACAGACCAGTACATAATCAATCGATAACAATGTTTGAACTTGTGAGAGGCCAGGCTCACTGCATCCAGGTGACTTGTTGGGGTGAAGTCAGGGAGGGGATGAGGACAGGTCAGGCTGCTGTTTTACTCTAACACACTAAAAAAAAACCTCAGATGTATTGAATATTCAGTATTTTTACTAAAACAGGCCTTTACAGACCTGGGAGGGTATGGCTTCCACATTGTCAGGGCTTAAATCCATCTCTTTAACCTTCAGATTGGTAGTCCTGGGGTTGATAGTCAAAACAAAGGTGATAGGAGGATGAAGAGGAAAAAAAAACAGTGACATGGATAATGGGAAAAAGCTTAGTCCCCTGTAACATTAGTCTTTGGGAGAACTGATGGTTATGTGGCCCTAAACCCTCTGAAGCTGGATCATGAAAGGGCTTTAGGAAAGTTTAATGCATGAAGAAAGTAAGACCTGCTATTACTCTGTGTTCAAAACGACTTTCAAGGATATTTCTAATCATATGAGGAAAAAGCGTTAATATTTTACCTACATAGCTTTTTATGTACACACACATAAAAAACAATACAGATTGTCAAAATCTCAGGATGTACACAACAAATATTACTTCATCACTACATCTACAACTAGTCGCTGCAGAGCCTTTTTCTTGTTCTTCCATCATAAATAAACAATGAGTGCTAAACATCGGAACCATGTCACTCTTAGCAATCATGAGCCGTAATAAATATACGTAAGGTGCATTAAATGTTTTACTATAAATACATGTATGTGCATGATCCTGCATCTACGTTTCTAACATCTAACAGCTACTCTTTCATTATAAAACTCTACGACTTCAACTGCAAATCAAGTCAAAAACAGCAAACATCACAAAAGTGATTTTTTTTTCTAAATACTATTATTGTGCTCCTTCCTTTGGAGCATCTTCTTAAACGCTTAAACTGAAATTTACTCTACACAAACATATTTGATGTTCTCTTTCAGAACATCATTAATTCTACTTATTTCACTCTGTTCTTTATACAATGGCAGGGTGCAGGAAAGAATAAAAGGGGGAACTCTCGGGTGAAGGAAGTGCTGGTGGCAGGGAGAAATAAAATATGCAATGAATACATTCTAAAAGAGCTAAAATGATAATAAAAAAAGAGTGAGTTATGAATGTGTGCATTTATGCAGCAGGATCACACATCTCTTGCATCCAGGTGGTCCCCACATGATGCCTGGTGTAAGGAGGGGTGTGTGTTGGTGTGGGGGGCGGGGCTTCAGGGCTCAAAGCAGAGCTTAACTGCATCTCCGCCTGGTCGTTTGGCCTTTGGTCGACACGTGTTGGCAAAACTGTTTTTCTTTGGCTGTAGACGGCACTCTCCAGGTAAAACAGGGTCAGTCCGAGGGGCGTGGCTAAAATCAGAGCGAAGACGACAGACTGCCTCGCCGTCAGCATCACGGCGAGGAGGAAGATCACCAACAGAATGGGCAGGGAGCGAGGGGAGGGATTCAGGAGGTAGCAGTGGGCAGATGAAGGAATGTTAGAACGACAGAAGGAAGCCAGAGAGGGGAGAGAGGAGCGAAAGGTGACAGGAAAGGGAAGAGATGGGAAAGCGGAAAGGGAGGAAGAAGAGACAAATCGAGGGCAGGAGAAAAAGGAGACTGAAGGCAAATGTAAATATGTCGGGCGTGAAGGAAGAGAAGTGACCAAATTTAGAAACTTTGAAGAAAGACGTATCAAAAACGCAACGATATGAGCCCAATGAGTGACCATGCTGCTTTGAATTTGATGTAATTTGGATGTGACTACYTTTGAAAGTTCACATTTAAAGACACAATTTAGTTGTGCTGCTGGCATTTGCAACTTAGGAGTGAAAATAGGTAGTTTTTTTGACAATCCCAAAAACAGCTTTGTGGGACGACACCTGCTCACATTCTTGCCCAACACAGAGAGGAAACACAAGATGAAAGACAGACATTTAACCACACCCTTCGCACAGAGCCAGTGTTGCCAGTTTGCTAGGCCAGCTGCTGTTCGAGTTACCGCCTCGCAGCCCTCCTCCGATTTCAAAAGCTCTGAGCTGCATGTTTGGGAGGGAGCGATAGGGAGGGGCGATGGGGGGTTCTGAACGAGGTGTTCGAGATCGGCCAGCTGCTGGTTGGAGAAAACGGAGAAGGTGTTTTGGGGAAGGGACCACAGTGGGTGAGAGGTTTCTGTCTCCACAATGCGATCGTCGTCCTCGGAGATGTCGGAAAGGCCGTGGTCGAGCTCCGAGATCGAGTCGAGGGACGGGGGAATGGATGAGAGTGAGGATGATGAGGAGAAGGAGAGAGGAAACATGAAGATTGACTAACGAGTGAGATGTGAGTTTAAAATAAAAAAAAAAATCAAAACAGGTCCAAACAGAAAGGAAAGACATGTTAGCATATACAGAAAGTAAAGAGTGGGTAAAAAAATGAGCAGATCAAAATGTGCACAAAATAAAAAAATATTTATCATCAATCCCATGAAATGATAACAAAAGGGYAAATCGTGCAGGAAGGGTGTGGGAACGGCAAATAAAAGGGTGTGTGAAGGAGAAAGAGAGAGGGAAAAAGACATTACATTAGTCAGTGAACAACACAGCACAACAGCTTAAAGTGAACGTAACAAGAAAAGCGCAAAGTGCAGAAAACAGTGGGAACAGAAACTGTCAGCGGGGCACCACCGGTGACAGACAAGGTGCTGTGGGGTTTGCAGGTAAAAAGGAGGGTAGTGAAAATAGGCAAGTGGGACAGGGGACATGCAGTACACAGAATATTCTCCTGTAGCTGGGACAGGCTGATTTGGTGTCCCCAAGGTGGACATAAACTCTTAGTGGTCAACGATGACGAGGCCAGAGGATGCAGAGTGAGTGCATGGCTTCATTTGACAGGTGTCACTTGTTGTAATTGAAAGAAAATCATTACATGGTTACATTATATTCCCAGCTGGATGATTTCTGGATTCGATTATGTTAAACTTGCTTTTTAAATGCAAAAATAAAAATTAAACACTATGTACAGCTTTCAATCATTTAAAAAAAAAACACCAAATTAAAGTCAGCTGTCCTAGCATCTCACCTGTTAAGATTGGCATCAGCTAAAAATATGATTATTTTTACTTAGATTTAAGGTAAGGGCTAGTCAGAGTGGGACTGAGASTACAACTTCAGACATTTTCATATGAATACTGTTTTCGAAACCTTTACATCACAATGACATTTCACAGCAATTCAAACAAAAAAAACACGTTTTGCAAAGCTTTTAAAAATGTAAAGGTTTCTAAAATAGCGTTTATATAAACTTCTTTGAAACTATTTAGTTTGGCATCATTCCTCCATGGTCGTTTTATAGGGTGTTGAAAAATAAGTAAAATGCACATATGAGCATTAAATATTGCAACTTTTCAATTGACAAAGCGATGAACAGGACTCAACAAACAAAAAAGGAAAACAATGTTTTCCTGCAGATACACACCTTGGAGTCTGAGTGAAGCTCTAGGTGAGGCTCCCGTCCGTTCTCAGCCATGTCTCTCCCGGCCTCAGTTATACAGATGGCTGGTGCTGAGAAAAGAGAAACAAAGTGATGCTGATTCTCACACTGACAATATAGGTTTTCAGTCACAGCACATTGACTTGAATCTAATATTTGTGGATTACATTAAACTTCATTTCTGTTGAACACGTTGGAAGATCATAACATAAATTTGAGAATTATTCTGGAAAATCCAGCTTTTTGCAGACTACACTTTCAGCATGAAGTGAAGTACAAGTTGTTGTTTTTTTTTTAATGGAAGGGCAGCAAAAAATACTTTTAGGTACAAAAGAGGACACCAATGGCAGTAAATTAAGTGTCCAGTAGGGGGCGGTGTAAGGCAGTGTAATATTAAGACATAACCGAGGCTCAGTGAAACAAATGCACAAGTCAGAAAAAAAAATTTCCACAAAGACAATAAAATTCCATTTATTTCTGTAAAAAAAATTAAGGAAAATATATGTTCCAGTGTATTACTGTGTAAGTTCACCTCAGTTATTTATTACTCAGAGGTCAGAGTATTGTGTGTCGTGGTTCAGCATATGGTAGGGGTCTCTTTCTTTTCAATAAACAAAACATTCTTTATTCTCATCTTTCTCCCTTTCCCCTCTGTCTCTCACGGTGTGACAGGAAACACACGCTCCAGCTATTTCCTGTATCTGCTCGTACACTGCACGTTTTACATCCATTTCAACAAAGATGTCTACACATACCCTCCTGAAATCGACAAACCTTTAACTCCCGACTCAAGTCCTTKTATTCAAATTGTCAACCAGCTGTCCATTCAATTGATATTGGTCAAATATTAAGCAAAAATATAAGTTTTTATGTTGTTTTCCTGTGTTGAGTTGTGAGCTGGTGTTACCTCCGTCCAGGCTGCGACTGATGCGCTTTGATGAGGTACGTTCAAAGCTAGGCGCAGGTCTGTCTATGAGGGAACTTGCCAGGCGAGTTTGGGCTTGAGTCCGCCCGCTGTAGCGGAACTTAGATCCCAAAGTCAAGAAACGGGCCTTGGTAGGAGCCTCTGGTGCGTTTAACCTAAATACAGAGAAGTGCGGACAGGGAAAGTTAGTGAGTTTAAAAAAATATTCTGTGTATCCTTTTATACATCTTTCACCACAGGTTCGGAAGAGAAACTGTGATATCTCACTCCTCGGCAAAACTTCTCAGATCGTCCTGGGGAACCCCAAGGTGTTCCCAAGCTAGAGAGTGTAATCCAGAAAGTGCTGGGTCTGCCTTTGGGTCTTTTCCCTGTCCATCTAACTAAGTTTTAAAATCTTATATCCAGCCAAGAAGTATTTTTGATCTTGTTTTGAGACTGATTTACCAATCAAGAACTGATTGTGTAAGAATAATAATCTTGTTTTCAGAATGTGTAAGATTATTTGTCTTGTTAGTCTGAAAATTTGACTCAAATTCAGTCAAAAATTTCTGCCAGTGGAGTAAGAAAATGTTACTTGGTAAGATTCTTGAAATAAGAAAAAATCGAGTCAAATCAAGTATTTCAAGAATCTTACAAAGTAAAATTTTCTTACTCCACTGGCAGAAAATTTTGACAGAATTTGAGTCAAATTTTCAGGCTAACGACAAATAATCTTACACATTCTGTAAACAAGATTATTCTTACACAATTAGTTCTTGTTTAGTAAATCTGTCTAAAAACAAGATCAAAAAGATTTTTTTGGCTGGATATAAGATTTCTAATCTTGGTTAGATGGACATTGGGACGTGCCCCAAAAACCTTAAAAAATTATCAAACAGAAGTGTCCAGGAGGCATCCTAATCAGATGACCGAACCACTTCAACTGATGCTACGTTCACACCAAACGCGTTTTGAGCGGCCAAAAAGCGCAAAACGTCTCTCACTGGACGCTCTATGTTCAGACCGAAGAAAGCACTGTTCAGACCAGAACAAGCAGCGGCAGCAGCGAGGTGTGGGAGGAGCGTGTCCTCGGCAGGTGAAATAAAGATAAAGTAAAAGAAAATGGCTTTGATTTTTTTACTAAAAAGCAAGCGAACGTTGCGCACAGCAGATAATTAACTCACCAGATGATTTAGAGGCGATTTGTTCGGTTAGTTTCATCACTCCAGAAGCTGCCAGCTGACGGACTTTTRTCTCTRRTTTTTTTTTTTTTTTTTTTTTTGGTCCCGAGCAGCTGATCCACATCGGTGCTGATAAATCCTGCCAAAAAATCCAACTGCACACGGTCGATTTCAGGTAAAGATCTCCAGTCCGTCTGTTTAGGTTTTCAGTGGGAGACGCGTCGAGCGGCGAAAAGTTCAGATATTTGAACTCTGGCGGCGGCTCGGGCGGCGGCGGCTTCTGCAGCACCGCATGCACGGAAAAKGCTCTGCGCCCCTTCCGCCTTCCTTGCGCGCCGCTCATAACGCGCGTGACGCGACGCACAACCCCTTGAGGCGCGTTCGCCATAGASTTTGCATGTAAACTGGCAGCTCCTGCCGCTCAAAACGCTCTCGGTGTGAACGAGCCATGACTCCTTTCGATGCGAAGGAGCAGAAGCTCTACTCTGAGCTTCATTAGATGATGGAGCTCCTCAGCCTATCTAAAAGATTGAGCCCAGTCAGGTGAGGTTTGATAGATGGTCAGAGGCTCCATTCCAACATCCTGAAGTAAACTTTCCCTGAGAGAATGTGAAGTGTGATCTTCATTAGTTGGAACACACCCTTTTAAAAAACGGGTATTACCACTCTGGTCTGCCAGGTGTGGTCCTGGTTCTCCATGCAACATTAAAGAAACACACAAATCCTGACAGCTTCACATTATCCAGAGCCTGCAGCATTTTAGGGCGCATATCACCCACCCCTGGCACCATGCCACCACAGAGCTTTTTGACAACCTCAGTGACCTCTGCAATGGTCATTTTTCCACTAGCGCTATGACTCTGGCTTCTCGAAAGTGGACATGCTGGCCTGATTAAGGAGATCCTCAAAGTCCTCCTTCCGCCACTCAACAATATTCCCAGTCTGAGTCAGTAGTTCCCCACCCAAACTAAGTAAGTAATCTGAACTGCTGTTTGGTGCGAAAGTCCAAACAAGTCAGAATTTACGTCCAGCATCTTGAAGCCACAGAGACGTGATCGACTGGAGAAAACTCCAACACTGAGGCACTCTTGCATTTGTTCAGTTACTTTAATTTGTGCCAGTGAGAAATAAAAATATTTCCACAAGAGTTCCTTGAACAGAATATTAAAGTCTCTTCTATAAACCCAACAAAGAGAAACACAACAATCATAGGTACCGGGCTTATCTCTGCGTATTATTGTCACTTTGATCGTCAAATTATATTTTCTGACCTAAATAAAAATGGTAACCTACAGAGTATAATCTCAAAAAATTAATACTGCGCCATTAACTTCGAACTTTTAATAAACATAGTGTCCATGTAGTGAGTGTTTGAGTGTGTTTCTACCTGAAGAAGCTGTGATTCTCTACACACACTTTCCACAGCTTTTTGGCAGATCGATGATTCTGGAGTTTGAATCCAACCGTGCTCTCAAACTGTTCGGTCTATTAAAGAAAAAAAAAAGAAAAAAGAGTTGCTTATTTTTCTGTACGAGGGCGTTTTCAGATCAGTTTAATTCAAGTTGTTTGATTTAATTTAACTTTTTAGCACAAAATCACAACTATGTATTAACAAGATAACGAGATAAAAGACATCTCAGCATATGATACAAGAAAATTAAACAGATGTATCAGACTTAGTGAACATTAGTTGCTAAAGCCTGTGTGTGTGTGTGTGTGTGTGTGTGTGTGTGTGTGTGTGTGTGTGTCTGGGACAAACCTCTCCTGGTCTGATCTTGATATAGAAGTTGTTCCTCTTGTATGATATCTTGAGTATTTTGGGCCAAGCAAAACGATTTATCCGGAGCCTGTCTTTGTAGACCAAAAGCCCATTGGCACACACACCAAGCATGATGTCCACACCTTCAGAATCCTGGAACAATCAAATAAAAATGCATATGAGAAAATAAATAAATAAATAAATAAATAAATAAATAAATAAATAAATAAATAAATAAATAAAGTAATTATTTATTAATCTCAAGGAAACTTKTGAATATGGGACCAATTTCTCTAAACCAGATCATGCAGCACATCAATTGATTTTTAAAGTAGTCTGCTTAAGGTCAGGGGAAAACTCAATTATCACACACACACACACAGTAATTCAGTGGAACTGTAACACAGTTAGCTGGCAGACCTGCTGCAGAGCTTTTAAATCCAAGGCGAGCTGGTAATGGTAGCACTGTATTGATCATAGTGGTGACTTAACAGAGGAAAAATCTGTTGGACTAATGGACGGTGAGATATGTTGATAATGGGCAGTTTTACAGTGCACACACACATTTGCACATCATATGGTCTCGCCATGCTAAGAGCCGGTCATCAATCTGCGTCTTCCACAACAGATTTGTTGTAGGTCTTCGGTGCGTTACAATAACAGAATTGTTACCAAACTACAGTAAAATCATGGCAAAATGTGTTTTTCTCAAGTAAATGCAACAAGAAGCACGTGGTGTTTACTTCTAAAATGATTCCCTATTAAAAAGGAACTCAAGTCAGTAGTGTTTTTGTTGCAAAAGTGATTCAAATGAGTTTTCATAACTATCGTATTGCTTCACATTAAGCTGGATAAATGGAAAACAGAAACAAGCTGCTTCTAACATCAGCCTAATTATATTAACTTTATTTCCAGTTAGTTCAACACTTGTAATTCAGCCATCCTGCAGTTTTATTTTAATTAGTCCAACAATTAAATTAGGAGCAAAGGGTTAACCTTCCAACATTCTTTTCCAACTCCTTTGTTTATAATTATCTATTTTTTTCAAGTTCTAATAAATTTTTTTAATAGAATCAAAACTCTCACATCTCAGCAACAACATGCTTTTATTTTTTACAATTTATAGCAGTTTTGATTGATGATGTATTTCATTTCATAACCATTGCTTGGTGTAAAATTATACGTTTCAGAAATAAATACTTCGTTTTTGACACTTGTGCTTCTCTTTTTTCTCAGAATAAAATTTAATAAATTTTCCCCAAGATGATGATGTTGAATGAATTTAGATAGAGAAATCTCTTATTCCAATGATTAATTTCAAAATAACAGTCAAGTGTCTCCAATCACATCCAACATTGTGGAGCATTTGTTTTAGTTTGGTAGGATTAATATAAATATTACAGCTTTTTATTTAGAATTTAAAATGGTGTTGAAGCAAAACAGAGACATTTCCACTCCTTGCATTTTCCATTGTTGTTTGCCATAAAACTGAGTTTTAGCACTTAAAAGTGCTCTGCTGCACTCAATCGTCCCCTGGAGGGGAGTGTCCTCATCAGGCTGTCCTAATCTGGGTTGTAACTCTTTTCTTCCTCTTTCTCAATTTCCCATCACCTTTCTATTTTCAGACTCCCTTTCTCCCGTGTGTATTTCTGCTGAGTTTATCACAAAAACTCCAGGACATGCTTAGAGACACATGGAAAGCTGCACGCAGTCTGCTGATGACCCGCTATCCCAATGAGAGAGAGAGAGTTGCTGTTCCCATGGAAATGACCTCCCTGCGTGTTTGTTCTGCTGACACAAACACACACACACACACACACACACAGCAGCGCAAACATGCAGGCACACTGACATGCTTTCCCCACATCAAAGGAACTGTGCTAATCCCCAGATGTCAACAACAATGGGGTGGGGAGCGGAAGAGAGAAGCACGAGAGAGGATTCGTTCATGCATTCGTACCTTAGCGTGGTGCAGGTCCACCCCGTACATGGACAGTTTCTTGGCGTTTTCTAGAAACTGGAGGTCAGCTTGGGCTGGAGTCATGCCCCTTTGAAGAAAGAAAAAGCCCGTTGTTTTTGCTTCARAAACCGTAGCAGGATACAGTAAATATGAACTGCAGTCAGAGGGTTAAAACGCAGCTGGGAAAACAAATAGAAAAACTCACACTTGCTACTGAGAAACCCTCGCTGAGAGTTTCTGACAACCTGCTGTTTCTGACCTGTGGGATTTGTGGAGCTCAAGAATCTTCTCCTCCATCTCTTTGTTCTGACCGGGCTCAAAAGTCAGCTGATTGATGAAGTCCAAAGGGCGAGGCTGGTCAGGCTCATAGTCACCAAACTCGGCCTAAATGATGAAATTAAACTATTTCTGAAAACTGACACCAACACTTGGATAAACTGTGCACTTATGTACCTAAAACACTAAAAAACACAGGATAAAGGACATATGATGCACCTGCAGTGTGTACGACCCCAGCAGAGCATGAGTGACGAACGAACAAGGCAGCCGTCCGGAAGCCACATCCTCACGCAGCTGCAGACACAAAAGGTACCTACAAGAGATCATAGGAGGGAAACACAGTTTAGGTGGGAACAAAAAGGCTATAAGACAAGAACAAACTTGTTCACACTTTTGACTTTGCTTTTTCTTTGAACTGAAAACAGCTGCAAAGATCTGCAGCAAGGACTCCCAGAACAGATAAAGGTTTGGCACCATGGTGGTCGATTTTGTGTTCTTGAAAACGTTCAAACTCTCATTCAAAAGCATAATTAGTTCACTTTCTTGTCTGTTAGGACCTAAAAAAGTATGAAATATTTTCAAAAATGATCATGATTTATCAGGGACCTTGATGATGGAAATACGCCTATGACATAATTAGCTCAGCTGAAGGTCTCACTGTTTTATAATATCTACATTGTCAGGTTTCAATGAAAGATGCCTCCTCAGGGTAGATGTCTCATTCAGTTAAAACATCAAACATAAAACTTATTCATCCAGTAACATGGATGAAAGTTAACTAGGGCGTCACATGCCTCCAGACAATACAGCATGTCAGTATTTTTACTTGGTTAATTAGATCATTAGAGACAGAGAAATATTTAATGAAGGAGCACTAAAGACCAGTTAATATGTAAACCACCTGGAAAACTGTTTCTGGATTCTGGCAACTAAATGCATGAAAAGAAATACCACTTAATGTATGACTGAAGATGTTAATTAAGGATTTATTTTTGTCATTTTTACCTCAAACTGGTACTAACTAAAGCTGGGCGGTATTCATTTTTTTATACTGTATACTTTATATTATAAGGGCGGAAAGGGGCGGGGTTAGTGTATGGTGTGTGGCATGTTAAATTCTCCCACTCTTGCAGTCTCTCCATCGCCACCAAACTTCATTCATCTGAAGACATTTTTTGGGGTTTAGGTTATATACTGATTTTAATTACATACACATGGTATAGTCTTATGATAGAAGAAATGTAAAGATTGTTAAATGTGACTGTTTTGCTTAACTTGATGATTTTATATAGATCAGGGGTGGGCAATCCTGGTCCTCGAGGGCCGCAGCCCTACATGATTTACGTTTTTCCTGCTCCAACACACCTGATTCAGTCATTGATTTACCTTCCAAGTTCTGCAGTATGGAGGACCGACACTGACATYATTATAAATAAAAGTAGAAATATATAAATAAACCACTAATAAATAAATACACTTAAAATGCACCAATTCAATTAAAAAAGAACTTCACCTCATGTTTTGTAATTTAATTCTCGTTTAATTTATATTTTTTAACACAATTCAAATTTGACTGTTTTTTAAAATATATATTTTTCAGTTTTACTTTTTATTTGTACATACATTTGTCTCTTAAATGTTTAAATTGAAATATTTTTATAGTTTTGTCCCACAAGTCTTTTTTTATTTCGATGTGTTGCACGCGTGTGCTGCCTCAGTTTAGCTTAAAGTTTAAAGTTTAGTTAAAAACAAAGGCACGGATAAGTTTTTCTCCTTGTCTTTGTTTTACACTAAAATTTAAAGACTTGTGGGGAAAAATTTAAAAATAATTAAGTATAAATATTTAAGAGGCACAAATGCATGTAGAATTTAAAGGAAAAACAAAATATGTATGTTAAAAAACAGTAAAATTTAAATTATGTGTTAAAATACATAGACTAATTTAAACTAACCTGGAAAAATAAATATTCAAGTCATTTCAAACAAAAAACATGAGATAAAGTTCTCCTTTGTTATTTTAATTGGTACATTTTAAATGTATTTATTTAGTGGTTCATTTATATAATTCTGCTTTTATTTATAATTATGTCAGTTTTGGTCCTCCATACTACAGAAGCCTGATAATCATCTATTCATTCATATCAGGTGTGTTGGAGCAGAGAAGCAAGTAAAACATGCATGGCTGCGGCCCTCGAGGACCAGGATTGCCCACCCCTGATATAGATGGATACATGTCTGAAAACAAATTCAACACATAACTGAACTTTTAAATCTTCATTGGGCTAGATTATGGTTTCTCTGGAGGCATGGCCCCGAGCAGCTTTAGGGACCCCTTCCTGATGATGTAATGAAATAGGCGGGGTCATGCCTCGAAGCGCTCTGTTATATTCAGCTGTCTTCCTGGGTTTCGGTCTGAATGCTTGGTCAATAAACAGGCCTTCAGCAGAGCYCTCTTGGTTTTGTATGATCTCTTTATTATTCTCTTTCCATGCATTGTTCTCCYTATGGTTCAAGCACACAAACTGGTGAACGAACACACTTAACAATATTTTCTTTCACAACTTTTGCGTCTTGTTATTGCCGTCTTCCTGTAGATTTTTTTGGCACTTGTCAAATAACTCTGGGCCTCGGTCAGAGAGGAGGTCGTGGGGGTTAGGTTTCTTCAGCTCTAGAGAAGGACGAGACTAACTGTCGATTGACATGTTTTTTCCATGAAACTACCGTGTTTCCTTCAGTCTGCTGCTGCACCGCGCATCAAATAGGAAGGTCATGTTCTGAAAAAAAGTGGTGTATACTATTTACCATAACCTCTGTTTGTGAATATGTACGAAAAGACAAGATCTACCATTGTGCAAAATGCCACCTTGCATTTGCTTTAAATGTCTACAGTATTATTTGGACAATTGTGTGTGTTCCTTTAATCCTGTCATTTTGGACTGACACTAATAAACAATCCAAAACACAACTAGGAAAAGTTTTAGTAATGAGGAAAATTCAGCCACCGAGCATCGTTGTCCAACTGTGCAGCTCCCCGCAGCTCTGGGGAGGTTTAAACGGTCTGAAAGTTCACTGTTGTGATGCTAAGACTCACATCTTCAATGGATCCAGTTCTGTTTCCCTGCCTTTTATGTGTGACTCATATTTCCATCCACTGTAGGCAGTTGTTTCCAACAAGGCTGATAATACAAAGAGCCTAAGAAAAAACAGCAGCCGAAGGCTGCAGAATGAAAGCTAATTCAGCAGAAAAACAGGTTTGGAGGAGACTAAAAGCAGAACAGAATCACTAGAGCAGKGGTTCCCAAAGCTTTTGTTCCCTCTCAGGGTTTTGTTCATTTTTTAAAATCCATTTTATTTCCAGAGGCTTTTTATTTTCATTTCCTGATAGAAACAATGAATACTGTCATAGTTTTAAAAAATAGTTACACT